AAATGAACTACTTGTTTTTTTTTAAATAATATTTTATTAAGTTTTAACAATAAAAAATTCCAGAACAACAAACAGAAAAAAAATAAAAATAAAAACACAAGAAAAATATAAAAACACAAAAATACAAAGTTACAAAATACGAAAATACAGACATTTCACCTAAAAAAGAAAAAGAAGAAAAAGGAAAAAATACACGAAAAAAGAAACAAAAATCCCTCTTTTTTAATTTCTCATCTTTGATTGACTTATTTTCCTGACTTCCTCACGCCTCCCTTTTTTGTATCCCTTTTTTAAAAAATTGGTTCAGCAATTTCATATCCTATTAATTTATCCTTAATTAAATGAACTACTTGAACTACTAAATTAAATGAACTACTTGACTCTTACCTTACCAGGAAGTCCTAATAACTAGATTTCCTCCAGAAAGAAATTCGTCCTTAAAGAATAATCGAATCACAGAGTTGGAAGGGACACCCCAAGGTCATCTAGTCCAACCCCCTGCAATGCAGGGAACTCCGCTAAAACATCCCTGACAGGTGGCCAGCTCACCTCTGCTTAGAAACCTCCAAGGAAAGAGGGGGCACCCTCTCCCGAGGGAGTCAAACGGCTGCCAAACAGCTCTTACTCCTCAAAGAATTTTTTCATTGAGGTTGATATAGCGAATGGCAAAGATTTAACTGGGTGATTTAATTTAAAGGTTGAATATTAAATGGTATTATTATTTATTACCCGCCCTTCGCTCCAAGGTCTCAGGGTGGGCTACAGCATTAAAACAATATTTAAAACAATTTTAATGCATTAATTACTTCAATCTCTTGTAGTTTACATTACACACACACACACACACACACACAGTGGAACCTCTACTCATGACCATGATCCGTTCCGGAGGTCTGTCCTTATGGCAAATGTATATACTGTGTGTGTATATATATAACTATATATATATTAAAAAGTTTATATAGTATACAGTGGACACTCAGGTTGCAAATGCAACCTGCGTGTGCGCAGACGTAGGTTGCGATTTGGCGCTTCTGCGCATGTGCAAAGCGCTATTTAGAGCTTCTGAGCATGCGCGACCGCTGAAACCCGTAAGTAACCCATTCTGGTACTTCTGGGTTTCAGAAGTCCACAACCTGAGAAAACGCAACCTGAAATGGCTATAACCTGAGATATGACTGTATACATTTGCCATAAGTAATATATTTTACATTGAAATGTACCAAAAAATAATAAAAGTGTGTGTGTGTGTGTGTGTGTATAAACACTTTTATTATTTTTTGGTACATTTCAATGTAAAATATATTTTGGCTGGTGTTTTTAAAAAAAATAAAAATATTGTATTAGTATATGTATTATTTCTGTGGTTGATGTGAGCAGGATCCTTGAAACGACAACAATGAACAAACAGTGATCAGCGTACTGGGAAACAGGGAAGTATTTTCTCTCAGCCAGATTGGCTAGTAGCCTTGGCAGCAGGTCAGGTTATTTCAGAGAGGACGCCAGGCCAAAGCGGTTTCATAATCGTTGAAGAGCATTATTGCCAAATGACATTCTAGAACAGCAGCGTGATTCACTGTCTAGGTTGGACACACTGCCACCTGCAGTTGGAATAGCAGTATTACAGCTAACTCTACACAGCCTGAGGATTGGCTCGGTTCCTTGAGCCATCTGAAAGGAGTTGCTTTGAGGGCTACTTACTGTCAACCTTCTCTTTGCATGTGGTATCATGCATCATATGTGAATCCTGGGGTGGAGGAGAGAGAGAGAGAGAGAGAGAGAGAGAGAGAGAGAGAGAGAGATGGACTGTGATGAAATAAGGTTCTAGTTAAGGGTCCATCGTTCAGTTACAAATCCTCCATTATTTATTCGATGAAAATAGGGATGTCCTATTTAATAATAATAATAATAATAATAATAATAATAAATAATAATAATACCGTGTCCATCTGTCTGGGGTGGGGTGTGGCTTCCAACACACACACACACACACACACAAAATTAAGCATTTTGTGCGACACCGGTGGCACTGTGGGTTAAACCACAGAGCCTGGGGCTTGCCGATCAGAAGGTCGGCAGTTCGAATCCCCACGACGGGGTGAGCTCCCATTGCTCGGTCCCTGCTCCTGCCAACCTAGCAGTTTGAAAGCACGTCAAAGTGCAAGTAGATAAATAGGTACCGCTCCGGCGGGAAGGTAAACGGCGTTTCCATGCACTGCTCTGGTTCTCCAGAATCGGCTTAGTCATGCTGGCCACATGACCCGGAAGCTATACGCTGGCTCCCTCGGCCAATAAAGCAAGATGAGCGCCGCAACCCCAGAGTCGTCTGCGACTGGAGCTAACACTCAGGGGTCCCTTTACCTTTTAAGCATTTAAAAACTTTCTTATACAGGGTTGCCTTCAGATGTCTTCTAAAAGTTGTATGGTTACTTATCTCCTTGGCTCTGAGGTCACATAGCCTCCAACATTTCTCTATTGAAAACAGAGGCATCCCCTCCAACATTTTCCAGATGAAAACAGGGACGTCCTACCATACCCTCCAACGTTTCTCCGGTGAAAATAGGGGAAATGTGGGACATTCCAGGATCAAATCAGAAACTGGGGCAGCTTCTGTAAATCCGGGACTGTCCCTGGAAAATAGGGTCTGCAGTTACAGCTTGCTGGTATAATAAAGGAGGACACCTCAAGGTTTATACAATTCTTTCTGAGCGTTCGAAGCACAGAGCATGCATAATGACAGTAATCCTTCCATACCAGAACCCTGTAATGTAGGACAGTATAATTATCCTCACATTTATGCATAGGCATGCATAGGAGTGCACATCAGGCAGTATTTATATGTCCCAATTTAGCAGTGACGAGGTGTTAAAAAGTTTTGGGATTTGTAGGCATCGCATGCGGGCAATGCCCAACCACCAGCGCTATGAACTCATGAGGACTAGTATGTTTCACTCAAAAGGGAAGAAGGAAAGCAAGCAAGCAAGCCGAAAATGCACCTCAGTTTCAATAAGCCTGAGGATTTTGTGAGCGTTTGGTTGGACTGTGATGCCCTCCCCAAATAACCATCCCCATCTCAATTTAGCTCCCATAAGGGATGAATAAGACAGGAGTGCCTGGCGTGCTCTGGTCCATGGGGTCACGAAGAGTCGGACACGACTAAACAACAACAAAGAGATGAATTCATTGCGAAGTAGTTTTTATTAGAATTTTCTCAGTTTGTTTCCCTCTATATATGCCTTGGGGCGCGGGTGGTGCTGTGGGTTAAACCACTGAGCCCAGGACTTGCCAATCGGAAGGTTGGTGGTTTGAATCCCCGCAATGGGGTGAGCTCCCGTTGCTCGGTCCCTGCTCCTGCCAACCTAGCAGTTTGAAAGGATGCCAATGCAAGTAGATAAATAGGTACCACTCCGGCGGGAAGGTAAAGGCGTTTCCGTGCGCTGCTCTGGTTCGCCAGAAGCGCCTTAGTCATGCTGTCCACATGACCTGGAAGCTGTACGCCGGCTCCCTCGGCCAATAAAGCGAGATGAGCGCCGCAACCCCAGAGTCGGCCACGACTGGACCTAATGGTCAGGGGTCCCTTTACCTTTACTGTACTGTACAATAGATCAAACCTATCCATTCTGAAGGTAATCAACCCAGAGTGCTCACTGGAAGGACAGATCGTGAAGCTGAGGCTCCAAGACTTTGGCCACCTCATGAGAAGAGAAGACTCCCTGGAAAAGACCCTGATGTTGGGAAAGATGGAGGGCACAAGGAGAAGGGGACGACAGAGGTCGAGATGGTGGGACAGTGTTCTCGAAGATACCAGCATGAGTTTGACTAAACTGCGGGAGGCAGTGGAAAACAGGAGTGCCTGGCGTGCTCTGGTCCATGGGGTCACGAAGAGTCGGTCATGACTAAACAACTAAACAACAACGCCTTAGCTTGCTTGCCTGTGTCTCCCCTTATTCTCTTCCTTACAATCAACATTAGGAAGAGCTTTTGACAGCAAGAGCTGCTAGACTGCGGAATGAACAACCTCAGAAGGTGGTGGCCTCTCCTTTCCTTGGTGGATTTTAAGCAGAGGTTGGGTGGCCATCTCCGCCAAGCAAAGCAGTTGGCTCCTTACCTCTCTTGCTCTGACCTAGCCACTGTGATCCACGCGACGGTCACCTCCAGGATTATTGTAACTCACTCTACATGGGGCTGCCCTTGAGACTGACCCAGAAACTCCAGCGGGTGCAGAATGCCGCGGCGAGACTCCTTACGGGGTCCTTGCTGCAGGATCACATTCACCCGGTGCTACACCAGCTGCACTGGCTCCCGGTGGAGTACAGGATCAGGTTCAAGGTGCTGGTTTTAACCTTTATAGCCCTATACAGCCTAGGACCCTCGTACCTCCGGGACCGCCTCTTCTGGTATGTCCCACGGAGGACCTTACGGTCTTCAAACAAAAACATCTTGGAGGTCCCGGGCCACAGGAAGGTTAGGCTGGCCTCATCCAGAGCGAGGGCTTTTTCGGCTGTGGCCCCGATTTGGTGAAATGCTCTGTCACAAGAGACTAGGGCCCTGCGGGACTTGACATCTTTTCGCAGGGCCTGCAAGACAGCTGTTCCACCAGGCCTTTGGCCAAGGCACAGTCTGACCCCCTCCTTTGGTAATCTTCACAGAACTCTAGCCCAATGGTTGCCATTAATTTGATTCAGAATTGATTTTAGAATGAATTGATTTTAGAATGTATTTCAATTAATAGATTGTGATTTTATGTAAACTGTGTTACTTTTATTGTTGTTAGTTGCTCTGAGCTCGGCTTCGGCTGGGGAGGGTGGGATATAAATAAATTATTATTATTATTATTATTATTATTATTATTATTATTATTATTTTAGCTGAGATTCCTGTGTTTTCAGGGGGTTGGACTAGATGACCCTCAGTGGCCCCTTCCTACTCCAAGCTTCTATGATTCCTGCCCCTGCTTTGCAGTCTTTACCTAAGGAGCGTGTTTTGTGTTCCATTCACAGTGGCATCGCTGACCTGCTTCCAGTGTGAGAACGAGGAAAACAATTGGAACTGCCTGAAGCCAAAGACCTGCGGCGACTCGGACAAGTACTGCGTCACCAAGTTTTTCGGTGGAGGCGTCGGTGAGTGCCGCGTAGCTTCGTCAACTTCTACCATTCTTGCCTTTTCTCTAAATTGAAATGTCCCAAAGGCGGCAACCTCTTGATTACTTTTACCTGGCCTATCTGAGTGAGTTGCCTAGGGCACAGACCTCAGAGGGGTGCAGTACTGACCTTTGAGGGGGCCAGTTTTACGCAGGTCCGATTTCGTTCTCTCTTACAAATTCCTGATATATTTTACTTTCATTTTGAAGAATGTTATCATTTCTATCAGTTTTTGGAAATTGAAAATTGGAGCCGCCCAGAGTGGCTGGGGAAACCCAGCCAGATGGGTGGGGTATGAAGAAGAGGAAGTAGTTGGAGTGTGTGTGTGTGTGTGTGTGTGTGTGTGTGTGTGCGTGAGCAAGCAAGCAATCTTCAGTCTTCAATCTTTAAATTAAATCATCCAGTTAAATCTTTGCCATTCGCTATATCGATGGCGCTGTGGGTTAAACCACAGAGCCTAGGGCTTGCTGATCAGAAGGTCGACGGTTTGAATCCCCGCGACGGGGTGAGCTCTCCGTTGCTCGGTCCCTGCTCCTGCCCACCTAGCAGTTCGAAAGCATGTCAAAGTGCAAGTAGATAAATAGGTACCGCTCTGGCAGGAAGGTAAATGGCGTTTCCGTGCGCTGCTCTGGTTCGCCAGAAGTGGCTTAGTCATGCTGGCCACATGACCCGGAAGCTGTACGCCGGCTCCCTCGGCCAATATAGCGAGATGAGCGCCGCAGCCCCAGAGTCGGTCACGACTGGACCTAATGGTCAGGGGTCCCTTTACCTTTATATCAACCTCAATAAAAAATTATTTGAGGAGTAACAGCTGTTTGGCAGCCGTTTGACTCCCTAAGGGAGGTGTGGCACCTCCTTCCTTAGAGGTGTGTGTGTGTGTGTGCAAGCAATTAACCTTGTTTAGGGCATAAAATAGCGTTTCACCAGCCCAAGTCACACCTGTGCATTACAGGGTGGTATTGGCAGGCTCCCTTGTCCTTTAAAGCGAGATGAGCGCCGCAACCCCCGAGTCGTCTGCGACTGGACTTAATGGTCAGGGGTCCCTTTACCTTTAGTCATAATGGCTGTGCTCCTCTGAATTCCAGCTGCTGGGAACTACAGGAGGGGAGAGGGCTCTTGTGTTTGAATCCTGCTTGCAGGTTTCCCATGGGGTAATAATAATAATAATAATAATAATAATAATAATAATAATAATAATAATAGTTTATTATTTATACCCCGCCCATCTGGCTGAATTTCCCCAGCCACTCTGGGCGGCTCCCAATCGAGTGTTAAAAACAATACAGCATTAAGTAGTAAAAACTTCCCTAAGCAGGGCTGCCTTCAGATGTCTTTTAAAGATAAAATAGCTGCTTATTTCCTTCACATCTGAAGGGAGGGCGTTCCACAGGACGGGTGCCACCACCGAGAAGGCCCTCTGCATGGTTCCCTGTAACCACAGTTCTCGCACAGAGGGAACCGCCAGAAGGCCCTCGGCACTGGACCTCAGTGTCTGGGCTGAACGATGGAGGTGGAGACGCTCCTCCAGGTATACAGGACCGAGGCCATTTAGGATGAATGCTGCCACACTATAAAGGAGTTTTTAAATATTCTGACTGTTTGAACTGTCTCCTTGGGCAATCTTTATTTTAATATAAAAATAACTGGACCTCTTTCTTTCCTTCCTTCCTTCCAGGTGACAACAAGAAGCAGTCCATCAGCAAATACTGCTCTCCCATGTGCCCCCAAGGAGGAATCGACCTCGGAGTCATGGCCTTTTCCATCAAATGCTGCGAGTCCGAGCTGTGCAACTTAAGCGGGGCTTCCGGCGTGAAAAGCAGCTCCCTGATCTTGGTTGCGGGCACCTTGGCCAGTCTTCTGTACATCTTTGGAGCCAAGTTGTAGATGCAGAAGGCGGGAAGGACTTCTCCTCCAGGGAGAAACCCAACCTTTTCCCCCACGTGCAAAACTGTGCTTTGTAATGCATGCCTGTTAACTTTATTCTCTGCCCAGAGCCGTCTTTCCCATTGGTGTTAGTGGTGCGTTGCGCCAGGGCGCCGGCCTCTCAAGGGCGCCCTTGAGAGTGGGGGAGCTGCGCGGCTTTGCAGGCAGCCTCCCTCCCATAGCTGCAAATGTTTTCCTTTTTTTAAAGGGAAATTCTCTTATTCCGAATAGGATTCCTCGCAAGAAAAGGGAAAAGTTGACAGCTATGGCCTCCTCTTTCCCTGCGGGCACGCCAGCTGCGCCCCACCAACTATATGGCGGGTGGGCGGGGGGGCAGCTTCCCTCCCAAGCCTCTGCATCTGTCGTGCTCCTCCTGCTTCTTGGCGCAAGGTGGCGCGCAGCCTTCCCAGGCTGCCTTCTCGGGCGCCGGAGAGCATGTCCACCAGCACGTTTTCCCCACCACGCCGGGGATCGGGGCAGTGGGGGAGGCAAAGGACATTTTCCACCACCCCCTCCCTTGTTTTGGAGTTGCAGGGGCGTCGGAGGGATCTTTGCACCACCAATGCACCGGATATGCTTAAGACGGCCCTGTCTCTGTCCACACCGACTTGGAGCACTTTCTGAGTCAAGGAGCATTCATTCCACTGGCCCCACATCTACGGCCTGCGCACATAATGGCCAGGGCAGGGATTACTCATGAGTAAGCCCCCTCTGGTCTCCCCAAGCTGGAAAGATGAGCTGCAGCTCACTGAGGAACATGGGTGGGTGGGTCAGTGGAGGCTTCCTCCTCACGAGTAGGCCTATTGGGGGGGGGGGAGGCAACCTAGCCTCTCACTAGAAACCGGGGCAGCGAGTAAATCAGCTGGTGGGCTTTACCTACAGGTTGGTTTACTCCAGAGTAAACACCCATCGCATGCCAAGCTTGCAAGGATGATACGCCACATAATTATTAATCTGTATTTTTACTGTTGGGGACAGTTAGCGAAAAGTGGTCTAAAAATCTAATAAATACGTTAACGTACACATATAGATGGCAGGAACATTGTATTTTTTTTTGGGGGGTGGGGAGGGTTGGGGGAAGAAAACCTTTTCGCTGGAACATATCCTGAGAAAAACTGCTAATATGGACATCACACAGACTCCAGGAAGGATTTTGGGGGGTTGGCTTGGGAAGGGTAAGTATCTTCCCTGAAGAGTTCTGCCCTCTTGAGGCTCTGTTTATATATGCACCGCTTGGTGGGAAATAAAGAGATTGTGAAATAAATACATATAAATCCATCTTGGGCAAAGTGTAGGCAGCCAACCTCAAATAAAAAAAATCAAAGCATCTCTAATTCCCCGATTTCTTTTCTTTCTTTCTTTTTAAAAAACAGCTCTGCATCGTTAATTTTGCTTTGCATCACATCAGGAATGTTTGCAGGGCAATCCTAAATAGGTTTACTCAGAAGTAAGTCCTGCAGCTTTCAATGTGGACCAGGTTTGGCTGCATAGGAAAAGCTGTTTATCTCCACGGTGACCTGAGGACACGCAGACACACTTGGCCCAAGGGAGAATCATGTTATTCAAGGAAACGATTCTCCTCTGGCATTTTATATTCTACACTGTTACGGAAAAATCTAGGTGTGAGGCTGCTCAGTCACCCAGCTGGTCGGGCAGAGCCTGTGGGTCCCTGCGGAATAAAGGGAGGAGTCCAGCCACCAACCGGAGCAAATAGCTGTAGACCAAAGTTTATTGCGCAACAGGTTCAAAGAGGAATTTTCAACCCCGAGGATGGGGTGACAAGGACTTTTAAAAGTTTCTATCTTATCCCAGCATACAGTTCATTAAGCATCATTGCTACATCAGAAAAGAGGAGGGTTATACATGATTATACATGGGACGCGGGTGGCACTGTGGGTTAAACCACAGAGCCTAGGACTTGTCGATCAGAAGGTCAGCGGTTTGAATCCCCGCGACGGGGTGAGCTCCTGTTGCTCGGTCCCTGCTCCTGCCAACCTAGCAGTTCGAAAGCCACATCAAAGTGCAAGTAGATAAGTAGGTACCGCTCCGGCGGAAGGTAAATGGCGTTTCCGTGCACTGCTCTGTTTCGCCAGAAGCGGCTTAGTCATGCTGGCCACATGACCCGGAAGCTGTACGCCGGCTCCCTTGGCCAATAAAGCGAGATGAGTGCCGCAACCCCAGAGTCATTGGCAACTGGACCTAATGGTCAGGGGTACCTTTACCTTATACATGATTAACATAGGAGGAATGTGTTGGGGCAACAGGCGGATACAGGATATGTATTGGGAAGTACATTCTAAGCACCTACTACAGTGGTACCTCAGGTTACATACGCTTCAGGTTACAGACTCCGCTAACCCAGAAATAGTGCTTCAGGTTAAGAACTTTGCTTCAGGATGAGAACAGAAATTTCAGGAGGCCCCATTAGCTAAAGTGGTGCTTCAGGTTAAGAACCGTTTCAGGTTAAGAACGGACATCCGGAACGAATTAAGTTCTTAACCTGAGGTACCACTGTACAAAGGGACAATAGAACTTTGGTTTTCATAGTCTGCCACCTGGGCAAGTCTGGAGGAGTGCCTTTGCCCAGCGATTGACACCTATGAGTACGTGACCTCCCGCTTGAGGGATTATGGCAGGGACCGAGTGGTTTCCAAGTCCTTGGCCAATGAAGCAAATTGGCGGTGGAATGAAGGAAACTGGCAAAGGAATTGATTTTATGTGGTTTTTAAAGCTAGGTCACTTCCCTGAGCTGTCAAGTCAAAAGGATACATTCATGCATAATATTTGTAACATCTAACAACTTTAAAGATGTGCACTCTCCTCTTTATGAAGTGTATATTTTTTGCACAAAGCTCTCTGAAACTGAATAACAACAACAATAAATGATCCAAACCGCACATGCAATTTTTCTGTGTTTCTTGGTGGATTTACATATGCAGTTTATTTTCACGAGGGTTTGATTTCGCAATCATTAAAAAATATCCTTACACACCACCCCAACTCCCAGGGTTCGGCTTCTTTGGAATAATGCCAGTGGAGAGCACGGTGCCTTTCGGATAGATCGTTTTATTTATCATGATAAAGTAAAGGTAAAGGGACCCCTGACCATTAGGTCCAGTCGTGGCCGACTCTGGGGTTGCGGCGCTCATCTCGCTTTACTGGCCGAGGGAGCCGGCGTACAGCTTCCGGGTCATGTGGCCAGCAGGACTAAGCCACTTCTGGCGAACCAGATCAGCAAAAGGAAACGCCGTTTCCCTCCCTCAGGAGTGGTACCTATTTATCTTTGACGTACTTTCAAACTGCTAGGTTGGCAGGAGCACGGACCGAGCAACGGGAGCTCACCCCGTCGCGGGGATTCGAACCGCCAACCTTCTGATCAGCAAGTCCTAGGCTCTGTGGTTTAACCAACAGCGCCACCCGTGTCCCTATAATTTTTATCATGATAACACAGTATAAAAACAAAGAAACAAAAAACGGTAACAGCAGAATTAATGTTGCCAACGTTAAATCTTGGCCCCAACAAAACCACCTAAACAATATCGCCCCATAAGAGTCTATAGGCTTCCTGAGAAGTAGGGGTGGTCTCTGCCCTCTTCAGCAGCCTCAGCATTTGCAGCTGAAGTCAGTCAGTCAGTCAATCAATCAATCAATCAATCAATCAATCAATCAGAGCCTCCTCCCCAACAAGGTAGAAGGAGGCTAGCAAAACAGGCAGCTGGTCTTGCAGGACTCACAGCCAAGATGGTCTCTTTCCATTTACCGGTATATACAATCCCACCCTGTCCTCAGCTCTCACCTGTGGCTCCTAGATGCTGTCAGCACCTGACAGCTGCCACATCCTGGAAACGGCATCAAATGATCAGCTAAACCAGGTGAGGGGAGCCAATAATAATAATTTGTTATTTATACTCCACCCATCTGGCTGGGTTTCCCCAGCCACTCTGGGCGGCTCCCAACAGAATTACAGTGGTATCTCGGGTTACAGATGCTTCAGGTTACAGACTCCGCTAACCCAGAATTAGTACCTTGGGTTAAGAACTTTGTTTCAGGATGAGAACAGAAATCGTGCAGCAGTGGCGAAGCGACAGCGGGAGGCCCCATTAGCTAAAGTGGTGCTTCAGGTTCAGAACAGTTTCAGGTTAAGAATGGACCTCCAGAACTAATTAAGTACCACTTACAGAGGTACCACTGTAATGATAACAAAAATTTAAAAGTGATAAAACATCAGACATTAGAAACTACCCTAAACAGGGCTGCCTTCAGGTGTCTTCTAAAAGTCAGATAGTTGACATCTGGTGGGAGGGTGTTCCACAGGGTGGGTGCCACCACTGAGAAGGCCCTCTGCCTGGTTCCCTGCAACCTCACTTCTTACAGTGAGGGAACCACCAGAAGGCTCTTGGAGCTGGACCTCAGTATCTGGGATAAATGATGGGGGTGGAGACGCTCCTTCAGGACTACTGGACGGAGGCCATTTAGGGCTTTCAAGGTCAGCACCAACACTTTGAATTGTGCTTGGAAATGTACTGGGAGCCAATGAAGGTCTTTCAGGACCGGTGTTATATGGTCTCGGAGGCCGCTCCCAGTCACCAGTCTAGCTGCCGCATTCTGGGTCTCAAACCCTCGGTGAGTTAGGGGCTTTGCCTGTGTGCAAAGACAGGCTCTGTCAGATTGAGCAGATGAAACCAAGAGTGGGTCCAACGGTCAAGAAGGCGATTTTGCACATGCTGTAGAGCAGCGGTTCTCAACCTGTGGGTCCCCTGATGTTGTTGGACTACGAATCCCATCACCCCTAGCTAGCAAGGCCAGAGCTCAGGGATGATGGGAGTTGTAGTCCAACAACATCTGGGGACCCACAAGTTGAGAACCACTGCTGTAGAGGGAAGTGAGGCACAGATGGGGCTCATCCACCTGGGAAGGACCGTCTAGAAGAAGGAAAACTCTGACCCTAAATCACCGCTGCCTTGTGGGATATCTTCGGGAGGTACAGGCATCTCCAAACTTGGTCCTCCAGCTGTTTTGGGACTACAATTCCCATCATCCCTGACCACTGGTCCTGGTAGCTAGGGATGATGGGAGTTGTAGTCCCAAAACAGCTGGACGGCCGAGTTTGGGGATGACTGCCCTACACAAATCCAGAGTGGAGTCCCTAAGGCAGTTGGATGGTGCCTCGTATGCCTCCTGGCAAGTCTTGTAGCCAAGCTGGTGCCAAACGTCTTGCTCTGCTTTCCTTTGGACCACATCAGCGAGGCTGAGGGGTGTGTGTCTTGCCATCTGGGTAGCCCAGGGCCTCCAGACACACTGCCCAGGTTTGTGCGCCCCCAGGGAGGTCACTTGGGTGCTGCTAAGGCAGAGGTTAGAGGGACGCGGGTGGCGCTGTGGGTTAAACCACAGAGCCTAGGACTTGCCAATCAGAAGGTTGCTGGCCACATGACCCGGAAGCTGTACGCCGGCTCCCTCGGCCAATAAAGCGAGATGAGCGCTGCAACCCCAGAGTCAGCCATGACTGGACCTAAGGGTCAGGGGTCCCTTTACCTTTACCTTAAGGCAGAGGTTTGGCTTCACCCCCGGAGGCGCACTCCACTGTTTCTCTAGAGAGAAAGGTGCCAACTGTATTCTGCATGGGGTGAAGGGGTTCAGGGAATTAACACCGCAACAGATCTTGCTTCTCCGGTTAGTCAGAGCAAGTCTGCAGCTTCTGGCATCCAGCTCATTCACCCACACAGCTCTGTCCCAGCCTATTGCGGGCACACGCGCTAACTCTGTCTGTGGTGCCTACCCCTTTTCCCCAAACGATGAGACAAGAGACCAGAGTATGGGTTCAAATGGGCCACAACTTTATTGAGCTTCAGAAGGGGGAAACTTGGCACAGGCCTTGGCAGGTAACCCTCTCAGCCCACCTGGCTGCAGGCAGATGAGGTCCAGTGAGAGGGGGCTGCAAAGTGCAACCTTACATCATGCCCTTCCACTGACCTTGTCCTGGGAGTTTTACCTACATGCCGCCACTCTAGGCCCAGGGACTCCTGTTTTTTGCCCTTT